AAGGCAAGAGCAATGAAGAATGTACTTGCAAGAAGTTTCAACACACCCCATAAGCTTCTTGTCAAGAGGCGCGCCGATCACCTTATCTGTCGACCATGCCAGCGTCTTGGGCGGTCGTGGGAAGCGGCCCGCGCCGCAAATACCACACCGCCCGATTGCATCGAACTCAGCGGCTACCACGACCAGACTGGCAGGTTTGTTCAAGTGGACCCACCGCTCCGCATCCCACTGGCGGACGTGTCACCAGATGGCACCCTCGACGCCGCCCAGTTGGCCCAGATGGTCGCCGCCGTGTCTCCAGAACGGACAACGCAGTGAGAGTCTCCCCGACGCAGGGTGTCACCTAGATGCTCACATGGTAACCAACTGCATGTCTCATACCATGAATTCTTCCTTACAAATCCTGTGTGGACGTCGTTTTGCGGAAGCACAACAAGTACTAGACATAGTGTCGGGGAGTCTCTTCCATATACAAGGGCTAGTCGCGAGCTGAACGGCCAGAGCACACTAAAACATGCGCAGTGCCTGCTGTGTGTCACCTCGTGCTACTTTGTTGCATGTTTCTGTAGGAGAGGCGATTAGAAAATGAGCAGCATAGTGGTTCTTAACTACATCTAGAGCGAAGCACATGTCACCCTCAGAGCGCCTGCGCCAACAGACTGTGCATTTTCTGTGGCTGACTTTCGGTGCTCACAGTGACATTGCAGAAGTCTCCATACAACTTGGGCCAACTACCAAAATATCTACTCAACAGCAGTGACGCATATACTTGCAAGAAGTTTCACGCACCCCGCAAGCTTTTGCAATATTCATATCGCACATGAACCTTTACAACGCAAACAGAGCCTTCTTATGGCTATGCGTGCGCTGTTTACTACTTTGCAGCCCACTAGCTCGTAGGTCTGCCTCTTTGCCCAGCCATCATGCCAGGGAACCTTGGCATTGTTGACGACCACTTCTTCAGCGTCAACCAGGATGACCAGAGACAGGTGTGAATCTGTTGGTCCTATGGAAGCAGGACATACCATGACGACCAGCCAGAGCTCATCCATGAAAGATGGCCAAACCAGTATAGCAACCAGACGCTGGGTTGCTCATGGAGAAACCTGGCAGTTTTGGCGAGTGGTCCAGTGGTGCAGTGGATGGGAAGACTGGGTTAGGAACAACAGCCGCAACTTCACAGATGCCTACACCATCCAGATCTGCTTCGGGTGGACGCGCTAGACCTAACCAACTGCGTGTCTCATACCGTGACTTCTTCCTGATAAATTCTGTGTGGACGTCGTTCTGCGGAAGCGCAACACTATCTTTTCTGTGTACAAAGACTAGTCGCGAGCAGAACAGCGAGAGTACGCTAAAACATCTACAGTGCCTGCTGCGTGTTACCTCACGCTACTTTGTCGCGTTTTTCTTTGAGACAGTCAATTAATCAATGACAAGCATACTGGTTGGTTAACTACATCCTAGAAAAGCTGTGTCCTGGAGTGAAGTAAACGTTTTTGCCCGGAAGATATATATCGATGGACGCATCTCCTCTGACAGGTCACTGCTTCGAGACGCTTCTGGCGTGGCTGCCTCAGCATTTTCTGCTCGGTTTTTTCAGTCAGATTCCCTGCAGCCGTGCACGCTGCTTCTCCCCTTACCAGCAGCTCACATGCTCATGACGATGAGCTGGGCTGTCACCGCTTGGCCGCCGGTGGGGGTTTGGGAGGCTTGCGCGCTACTTCGTTCATCTCCTCTGACAGGTCACTGCTTTGAGACACTTCTGGCGTACCTGCCTCGGCACTTTTCTGTCCTCATTCCGGCTCGTTTTTTTCCGTGAGCTTTTCCTGGCGCCGTGCACGCTGCTTCTCCCCTTACCAGCAGCTCAAATGCTCATGACGATGAGCCGCTTGGCCGCCGGTGGGGGGTTTGGGAGGCCGCATCACACACAGACACCCACGCACTGCCTCAACTTACACGAACACACACAGACGCAGACTCATATACACACGGACATAGATACACGCACAGAAACCCACACACTACCTCAACTCACTCGACTTAACACTTCACACTGCACACTTAACAGATAACTCGCCCTCTGACTTCCTACGTGATGAAAAATGCTTTCGGGCCACTCGTCGTCTAGTTTGTCTGTCTGTCTGTCTGTCTGTTGTGTTACAGAGAAGGACTGAGAGAGCAGAAAATGTTTTTTGGATGCATTTCTTCACCCAACCACCTCGTCAACTTTTTTCAATCATGAACCACGAGTCTCAAGGGGCTCGTGAATGAACGCTCCAGACCAGCAGTGCAAAATTTCGCCCAGTGCTGGCCATGCCTGACAGGTCTCCGTGAATTTGGGCCAGTCGATGGCCTCAGGTGTCGAGCCAAATGGTTCCAGGTTTTCTGCGACATTCCTCATTTGGTGCGATTCAAGAAAAGGTGGTACAAGTTTCTTTGCTGTTGATGTGGAGTTTGCCGTTGTCAGAGCCTGGACATCCGTTGAGTATTAAAGGCTCGATGCGAGGTATGGCACGAAGCGGGATGCCCTGGAGCTGCTGCCAAGCTGGGCACGGGTAGCTCAGGTTGACATGGGATTGCCATGGGATCTCTGGGAAATAGTAATATATACATATTATATCATTATATATATTTTTTAAAATAATCTATATAACTAGATGTACATACATACATACATACATATGATAATGTGATCCAACAGTTCGCGCAGTGTTGCCAATTTTCGGAAGAGTGTCACTCGACTTCAAACGCCGAGCCTCTACCCCGATTTCCTTTTGCATTTGTGCTTACATTCTTGCTCGGCTGCATTGGACCCCCAGTGCGAAGTTCAATATCTAGGAGATGTTGTATACAGTGAAGCAACATTCTGGGGATCTTGGAGTGGGGTTCAACTGAGGTGGCAGCTCTTGCTTATGAAAATTCATGTCCGTGCTAGTTTGTCGGAACTGGCAGCTAGCCTTGTAGTTCCTCCGGGTGTTGGGTTTGTTTCGGACCTCTGGTTTTGCTGTGTTGGAGGCTGTTTGTAGCCCCGACTTTCAGGAGGCCAGGTGGAAAATAGCGCTTTTCATGTGCAGAGTGCAGTATGCACAATTTAGAGAGATAGTGAGAGTAAGAGCGAGACGGAGAGAGCACTCATGATAGGCAGAGCATGACCATGACATGAACAGGCCCCATGTTGTCGCTTGACAGGCCTTTGGTCGCTTGGGTGCTCAGGCGGACTAAATGCTGTAGCATCAAATTATGTGCCTGTGGTCAGCTTAAGTCGGAGTTCTACCTTTTATTCACATGCACGTTAAGTTTGATGGTTAGTTTGCAGTCAAGTTTCGTTCTGCCTCTTAGGTTTGGATGCTCACTGTGTAGAACGTGAAGCTGCAGCCAAGAGAGCAAGAACCACAGAAAAATCCAGAAACAACGTATGAACTTATATAGGTCTTAAGACTCAGACACTTTGTACATCTTTGTGCCTTTTGCTTTGGGTTGAGGTCTGGAAAGATTTGGTTGGGCACGGAGGCACAGCGACTAGCTGACTAGCTATTCATTTTACGGCCGCCACTCCGGCTATCACTGATAGTGCCACTCGCCTACTAAATCAGGAGAACTCAGCGAGAAGATTAAGAGCCCTGTGTAGCGGCACTGAGCGGAAGCTCTGAGTCTTGTGATGCTTGTCCTCTCCGTCCTCTCCGTTGGTTCAGCAAGGCCGATATGTTTGCCATAGTGGTCAACTGGTTCATTGGGTTGACTGGGGCTGGCAGCTTTGTCCAGCGGTCAAGCTTGTGAGTGAGGTTGCTTTTTTGCCACAGGCCACAGGCCATTGCTCGGCTGTGAAGCGCAGAATCAGAATACACATCTTTTTTGAGTCTTCTACTCTTGCCGGTTGGGTCGCTCCCTGTGTAGGTCCAATTGTGTTTGGTACTCAGATGTGCTCAGCATTTTGGAAGAGGCGTGCACGAGAGGACGACGATAACACCACTATCGTCAAGGAATTGCGTGAAGGTGTCAGGCACATCATGCCAACGCAAAGGTTCAACATCAAGAGCTTGATTCGGGATGGCTTCAAGAAAGTGCCGTTCTGCGCTTTTGTTACGCGAGCAGTCTGTCATGGATAGGTGAATATTCAGTGAGGTATGGAAACACAAGTGAGCTCACCCAACTCGCACCCCACAGACCTTTCATAAACATTCAAATATATATATATATATAGCAACAAATATGTATGTATATATATATATAATATATATATATATGTAACTTAACACTGCTTTTTGCCATGAAACACTTGCAACTTGGATCCTGTACTTGGTTGAGAAAGTGGGGCATTTGGGGGCAGAAAGCCGTTCGGCGTCACGGAATCAATTACCTTGAGAACACTGATGCCTTGGTCTACTGGTTGGAGGAGAGCATCCAAGAGTTGCAAGTTGCAAGAGCTCTTGGCGGAAGACAAGCTTGGAGGGAACTGAGGGGCTTAGAGGCACCCAGCCTGCTATTGTGGATGATGTTCCTTTCTTGTTGGATTGCTTACCGCTTCGGCACAACGAGCGTGCAGAACCTAAACCAAGCTCAATCCAAAAGATTTCAAGACATATTGCCTTGCTCACTGATATTTGTCAGCTGGCCTGGCCATGACCCGAGGCAAGCGGGAGAGCACTTAGCTTCACTACCTATTGTCAGAGTCCGTGAGGACACGGTTTGACAAGGCTGATTTGGAGCACCTGAGCCAACCTTGCAGGAATTCCGATGCTCGTGTTAAGGACCCTAGGCATGCAACTCCTGCAGACGAAATCTCCAAGGTCATTGGGCTTCGCTTTTGTGATCTTTGACAGATTCAGCCATGTAGTGCGACAGACGAGGGGCTGCAAGAAGTCATGGAATGGCTTGCCGACTTGCCTCAAATGCCAAGACAGACTAAACTGAACTATTTTGGCAGAGATGATGCAGGCTTCGCATGGAGACCGAACATCGAGTTCTCATGCACCCTCTGATTGACAAGACACTGCGTCCAACCGAATTCAACCGAAAGTGGCAGTTTTGAAGGTCAGAAAGATGCCTTCTGGGTTTAATGTGGTTCCGAGTTTGCAGAAGATTATGTGGTCGGACACAGGGTGTAGAAGCAGCAGTGAAAAGCCTTTCGATCGTGCCTGCTTGACAGGCTTTAGCATCCAGCGCTGGTTGCCTGACGAATCCCAGAGCGACCCTCACACTGAGGCTTGTGGGGTGCAAGCTTTGAGGGGCACGAAACAAGGTACAGCTCAGAAGATTGGGTTGTGTAAATGATTGTATGCATGCTTCGGGGTTTTGGGTTTTGATTGTGTTGAGGAGGAGGTGCAAGAGCAATCACACACGGTTTGCAATGTGTATCTTGTTTGTTCGGCTGCCACGAAAGTTTCTGCATGAAGGATTCACTTTTCCTGCCTCAGAAGCCTTAACTTGCTGTAACTCATTTAATACCACAGACCCCAATACAGTTCGCAAGTACTACCTCCGATTTAAGCAAGAAATTGAACGTGCCTTTGCCCAAAACAACTACGTTCCCAAATCAATGAGGAGGCCGTCATAACGGTCAGCAAATAGGTTAAGGAAGCATCTTTGGTCAGGATTTTGCTAGATTTTGTTCCCAGCGACTCTAGTACTTTGGTGCCTCCGGGCCGTTCTTGTGCAGCACAACTTCACAATTGGATGTGCCATGCCCTCCCACAGGCCTGGAGGGGCACGCCCCCTTCCTGGGCCCTGTCTGTCCTGCAGCCGGTGATCTCCGCGTTGCCGGGACGCTTGCTTGCGGGGTGCAGCAGCCGGCGCAGAGGGTGCAATTCAGCTCTTGGATGTCTTGCAGTCCTCCGGTGAACCCAATGTGACCCCATTGAGCTCCAAGGCCCCAGCTGAAAGACTTTGAACTGCGGCTTCAGCAGCCGGTGGGAGATCTCAGGGCTCTTGGATTGCAAGAATCTGAATGAAGAGTCTCCAACATTTGGGTTGCAACTGAAACACTTGAGAAACTGGCCGATGACACGGGTCTTGTAGGTTAAGGCAAAGGATCCTTTTGTATCCTTTTGTCCATAAGATCCACCAAGATAACCCCACCATCACCTTGAGCTTTCGCCCTGCCCCAGGTGCGAGAAGATGCTAACGAGATTTGGCTCGGCGCTGTGCCCACCGATTTGTCCAGGTGGTAGTCTCAGCCAAGAGTGAGTCGCGAGTTTGCTTTGCTCTGACGTTGGGCTCGGGCTTGCGATGTGGGTATGCGATGGTATGCTCATGATTGTACGCGCACATGACACAGACATAATCAGACATACGCACGACTTTGTGTTGGCTTGGCTGAGAGCATCTCAGTCGGCAGTTGCTGCCGATCTTGTCCCTCCCGCGAGGCCCAAGGAGCTACGGGTACAGCGGTCCCCACCCCTGGTGGAGGTGGGAAGCGTGTGCAAGAACTGGAGCCGGAGCTGTTTTGTAAGCCGTGCCACTTTGTCACCACTCTGCGTCAAACAAAGATGTTTCAAAATGCCTGCATAACGCCCCATAGCTGGAACGAAGACGACCTGGTGAGGTGTACAACATCCTCGAACATGGACGGCACTTCTACAGCTGCTTTGGCTTTCAAACTGGCCGAGAATCCGGCAACCAAAAAGGAGTCCTTTTTCCACTCTTTTGAAATTGTGCTGATTCACGGATTTTACGTGCTCATGAGTTGGATTTGGATAGTTGGACGAGCTGTGAGCTGTTGTCTGTACACTTGAGCGGGCTGCCAAGGAACCATGGTTTTCTCTTCAGACACCGCGTGGTCTTTCCATGTGCTAGAGACCCAGCGCAAGCAATGCACAGCTGTGGGCATTGCAGCATACATACAACCTTAAGAACAGTCACTGGTACAGCAGCAGCAGCAGCAGCAGAGCAGAAGCAGGACAAGTGACAAGCGGATACTAGGGGTGGCGGAGGAGGAGGAGAAGGAGGGCACTAGTACCGGCAGCAGCAGCAGGATTAGAAACAAGAAGCCACTAGTAGCTCCTGGCATTACTACCGGTTGGAGGCCATCGCTAGTATAGGTTGGAGGCCAAGTATACTACTAGTGCTACTGCTACTGCTACTACTACTACTACTTCTACTACTAGTACTAGTACTAGTACTAGTACTACGACTACTACGACTACTACGCCGACGACGACGACGACGACTACTACTAGTACGACGACTACTACGACTACTACGACTACGACGACGACGACTACGACGACAACTGCTACTACCACCACTGCTACTACTTTCTAGTTAGTATCAAGAAGCCACTAGGTGGAGGCCATCGCTAATTTAACTTGTTGGAGGTAGTCGCAGCGGTAGCTGTAGCAGTAGTAGCAGTAGCAGCAGCAGGAGGAGGAGTAGTAGTAGTAGTAGGAGTGGTAGCAGTAGTAGTGGTAGCATCAGGAGAAGGAAGAGTAGGAGTCGGAGTAGCAGGAGCAGGAGGAGGAGCAGCGCCAGCAGCAGCAGCACCACCAGCTGGGGTGGTGGTGGTGGTGGTGGTGGTGTGAAAGGATGACACCCTTTACATATAGCATGACAACCATGTCCTTCCGTTGTAGCATGCTTGCCGGAAATCCAGTCCAAACCAGGCTGCAGGTCTTCGACCTGTTTTTGGCCGCTCGTGCGACCGGACGTCGCACAAATCGAGAAGAGTACCAACTTGAACCATGCCACCACTCGTGGCTCAAGCGGCTCAAGTGTCTGCGCAAAAGAAAGCGCGGCACGCCAGGGGAACGGGGCGGTGGACGTGGCGACTATTCGCAGTCGCAGGTTTCGACGTTTGCGTTTTTATTCGCGATTGTTCAACCAGAAGTGAATCTTCATATGGTAGCGGAGCCCTGCGGGGCATCCAGGGCAGAACATTCTCACTAGGTTGTTCCAATTTGACTTTGTTGATTTTGCTGTGACTCACTTTCCGTAACGAACTGAGCCATGGCAGAGTCTGGAAGTCAAGGAGCACGAGAACGCTCACGAGGGCCGAGAGGCCGATCGACCACACGTGGCCGCAGTGCCGCATCAGGACAGGAGGTGAGCCGAAGTCGATTCGAAGTCAGGTTGGTCACTTGAGTGATACTTTGCTAGGACCGGCCTTGCAACAGTTAGTTCAGCTTCATGCACAACCTTCGACAGCCGCACCAAATGTTGGCTCCCCGCCTGTGGTGATGCCGGCACAAATGCCTGTGCCTCCGGTTCGAACTGTTGATCCACAGGTTCCCACGAATGCCGTCCCGCCGAATCCGAATCCAGAGTTCGTGCCAAGCACCACTGCTGGATCTCAAGTGCCGTTTCCGAGCACGCCAATCCCAGTCCAACCAGCCGATCTAGGTAATCCGAATACCCCAGTGGACCCATTGCAGCGTAATGATCCATGGAGGAATTGGTATTCCCCGTCTCGGACAGCCGGCTTTCCCAACGAGCTTGCCGGCGTCACCAGATCGCATTGGTCCACCACCTTTTGCATCCGCTCAGAACTTGAATGGAGTGAATGTTCCACCACCTCCGGGAATCACAGGAGTTTCAGGACCCCAATCCATCGTAGGTCAGCAGCCCATCCAAATAGACACCCCACATGGGTCAATGAACGATGGTGCAGAAGAGTCAAGCGAAGTGAACGTTGGATGCCATCAGTCCCAACACCATCGTGTGAAGAGTGGAAAACTCGTGCAGGGGAAATCACCGGGTTCCTCAACTGGCTCACCACCCTCGCGTCTTGTGGACCGGCCTGGGATCCAACGCGTATCCTTCGGAGATTATGATGGCCATCAGGGAGTCAGAGCCCCTCGGATGGCATCGCCTTCAGCCGAGCCAGGTGACCCGATCTGTGAGACTTTTGTCTATTTTGAAGCTTTGTTTTAGTAACCATGCGTGAGCGAATCTAGTCATCAAGAACTATGAAGAGCCCAAGGGGTACACGCGTTGCTGTGGTTTCGAATGCCTTCGTCTCATTGCCAGAGAATTCTCAGTCAAAACCCGGACTGAGCTCCTGTTCTTCCGAACACAACTGGCAAACAGCAATATCACAGCACCCACAATCCCCGAGGTAATCAGAAAGATTCAATCAGAGTTGTTTCAATATGAACGGGTTTCCCAGTTGGTTGATCCTTCCGTGAACGTCGTAGGGCTTGAGTTCGTTGAAGCCGATAAAGTGTTGATCCTCCTTCGTGCTTTGCCTCAACCCTTTCGCCAGTGGGTAGTTCTCAATGCCCCAAATGAATCTTTCCAGACCTATGTCGATTGCGCTCTTCGGTACGAAGCACAACAGCGCATTTGGTCCGACCTCAATGGCAAGCCGATTGCAAGCCTTTCAGGTTTCGATCATATAAGGGCAAGGGGAAGGACAAAGGGAAGAAAGGGAAAGGTTCTCAAGAGAAAGGAGGGAAGGATCATGCCAATACTGGCAAAGGAAAAGGATCAGGATCAGAGACACGCACCTGCTTCCACTGCAATGAGCGAGGCCATCTCGCCGTCGATTGTCCGAAGAAGCCGAAAGGAGGAAAAGGGTTCGGTGACAAGGGATCCAAAGGAGAAGGAAAGGGAAAGGGGAAGGAGAAAGGTAAGAAAGGAGAGAAAGGTGAGAAGGGTTCAAAAGGTAAACCCAAGGGGAAGAGGGCCACAGAATTTTCACAACAGCCGGAGTCTGAGGCTGGAAGTGAGATTTGGTCTGAACCTGATGTTGAGGAAGGTGGCCGTTTGTCGATGTTCGCATCCCCATCCCAAACTTAATGCGCCAATCCACCGAAGACCATGATCCATATTTGTGGTTAGTTGATTCCGGCGCCAGCAAGACTGTTGTCTCTGTTCATGCATTGAAAGCATATAAAGTCATCCGAGAAAGGGAAATGCAGAATCCCATCCAGTTTCGGACCGCATCAGGGGAACAAGTCGCCATCGGTCGTGAGTGTATGCTCGAGGTTTTCTTTCCAACGTTCATCGAATATACGATGACCGTGAGAAGTCGAAGTTGGTTAGATACGAAGTCAGAGCTGTAATCGGTCCAGTCGAGCATAATTTGCTGAGTGTTCACAGCCTCACGAGAATGGGTGCGACTTTTGAATTTGGTCCCGAAACGTGTTCCATTCGTGCTTCTGACATCAGGCGCATGCAGTGCAGCATTTGGGCAAATGTTCCCTGGCTTCAAGCTCATCATCGCCGGGGAAGATCCTCCTCGAAAGAGGATGTCGAGATGCAGGCCCAGATTGTTGAGCCTTGGTCCGACACAAGCCCATCCAATCAAGGTTCCAGAAGTCCAAAGAGTAGGTCTAAGATCACTGTTTCTCAAGACACGTCCTTTCGCTTTGAGCCGAACATGCCACGGACTTCGAACCATGTAAAGATGTTGCAATTTGCCGACTCGCCTGAAGTGTTTTCGTATGAGCCCAATCCAGAAGAGCCCAATCACATCCCAAGTGCAGAGAATGATCGACCCATGTCTTTGCACCTGAAAGCCGAATCAGTTGATCTTGTTGACGTTCCGCTGCCCGACCCAGGTGACATGGAAGAACGACATGATCCAGAAACAAGTGGATCAGGAGCTGCGCCAGCAAGCTATGAGCAACTCAGTCGAAAAGTCGAGCTTGAGCTGAGTTTGCATCGTCGGAGAGGACACTTGCCATTCGATAACCGGTGCAGCCATTGTCAGAAGAGTCGTTCGGTCATCCGTCATCCGAGAGTCACCGATCGGGGTCGAACACCTGAAGGTCACAAAGTTCTTTTGGTCCAGGCTGATTTCATGTTCATTGAGTCCCACAAAGTCCTGGTCCTCAGTGATGCAGGGACAGGTCTGTTAGGCACTGCATCTATCGATTCGAATCCCGACAGGACTATTGCAGACATCAAACAGTTTTTCCGTCAATTGGGGATCAATGAGACTAGCAGTACTGCTGTTGAAGTCCTAGTGGACAGTGAGCCTGCATTAGGTGCTCTCCTGAGACGAACAGGATTGACCTTGCAGATCCGTGCTGCCGCGCCTCAGGCACACGAGACAGTTGGCCTGGCCGAGAGAAACGTTCGTCGATTCAAAGAAATGGTTGCTTGCATTCGAAGTGACATGAGGGCACACGGATATGATTTGACCCGAAACGCTGAATGTTACCACTGTGTCCTCCAATATATGGCACAAACACACAACCATTTCGGAATCGGTGCATCCACAGGTCAGTATGAAAATCTGAGTTCACGACGCTCTCCCATCGAGCTTGTAGTTCAAAAGAATCGACCTGCCCCTTCATGCTCTCTGTTCGGTAGTGTGGTCCACGCCAGGGTGCCAGATTCTTTAGCAGCGGCCATCCCAGAGGCAACAAGATTCATCCCGGCCGCTTATTTGTTCATTCGACCCAACAGTCTGTCTCATGTGGTCTCATCAAAGATTGGTTCAGATGTCCATGTGTTTCAGAGTGAGATCAAGCCGCTGTCGCATGACCCATCGCTCGCACCTGCTTTGATTATAAGGAGATTGCTCGAGAAGACCGACCGCCGAATCCTGATCTTGACAAGATTGCCGAGCCCCAACACGACCAGGTGGGAATCAAAGAAAGTCTTCCCCTCAATGGTCCTCCCCGTGCTTGGATTAAACATCATGGGCCCACGCCAAATTGTTCGGCATGCAACTCAGCCAGTAGGCATGGAAGAAAGCACTCTGCACCCTGTTGCCGTCGTTACAAAGAGTGGGTCGAGTCCGAGAGAGAGCGAATGAGAGAGTCATTGCCCAAAGAGTCCATTGAGTCCCATGAACATGTCCCAAAGCGTCCCGATGCATCAGTTGTTCATGATGTCGATGCA